AATGGAGGCAGAAACAAAAATGGTTTTAATTCACTTACCATTTTCTAGTCAACAATAGTAGGATTTAGGTAGAAGAATCATCATTGAGATTTAAGATATACGCAGATTAATTAGAGCTAAAGAGGCCAGAAGGGTAAAAGGATTCTTTAATCTACAAAAGCAACTTGTGTTTTCATTCTGAAAATTGAAATAGACGGCTCCCCAAAAAACACAAGTCTTCAGGAACCACGAAAAAGAAAAGATGGATGTGTGTTGTTCATTCTTATCCTTCTTCTCTTTTCCCTTCTTCCCTCTCTGTGTATCTGCAACCATGCACCATCTCCTTTGTTGCCCGGATTCTAAGGTGCGAACCAGACAATACATCTCTCCCCTCTTTCTTCGTGAACCCTTGATTTTATCCTTTTAAAAATAGGAAGAATTCTTTCAGAAGAGATTGTATATAACCACAAAGACATGAGATTATCAAGCAGCAAAATACCAAAAAGATAACAGAGGCCAAAATGCTTTTTGCTCCCCATTGCTTCTCAGTTGCCACGAGGGCCACACAACAGCTTATCTTGCAACTTCACACCCACACCATGTCTATTACCACATCCATTATGAATACAAACAACTTTTGTGTATGTCCATTGTTACTCTCCATACCAACATATTTGATGTCCTCATTGATGTGGCCAGTACCAGGATTCGAAGCTATGAGAATCGAACGCAAGAGGCCATGAATTAAGTAGCGAAGGGAAGATTTAGCAGGCATGATAGATACATGAAGCGAGAAGCGCAGGTCGGTCGCGGCGCCGGCGAGGAATGACCGCTTCAGAAAGCCACTCACCCCCATTATTGTGACGGTGGAGAAGGTGCATTTTGTCCACTTCGAGGGCTAGTAGTTTCCATCATGTTCTTCGCATAGTATGCCTTTTTCTTTTTTTCCCTTCTTTTTGTGAAAGCTAAGTAGCTTTCATATGATGCGTGCAGCAATCGGACTACTGTGGATCGGGTTAGAGGGGTAACAATCAAGTGAAGAATCTGAGAACGTGACTAATGCAGATCTCATGGGTTTATCGGCACTAGCTTTCTTCGTCGTCACGTCGCCTCCTGGAACTTGATGCCGGTAGATGGCCGGAGATAGAGACGACGGAGTAACTGACTCAGTGTCATCGTTGTCGTCCCCACTCATCGTCGCCTTCAGCTAGCGGAGCCTGGTCCAGTGAGTGTGGCGGTCCAAGACAACGAGTAAGCGCCATGGCATGGCAGGTTACAGTCGAAGCAATGACAGCGCATCTTCTGCGTATTCTGACGCCCGTGTGAGACGTACCGCACCAGATCACGACTCAAGGCATGATGACACTGTGAGCCTCTTCGGAAGCAACGCTACCGTAACATGACTTGAAGTCACTACTCGAGTGAGTACGAAGGTGACGTGGCTGGCACACAGAGGACACGAAGGGCGGGCGCTTGATCGGAGTGGTGATGTCGCTCTCTGATGTCCTCGCACGGATCATGAAGCGGCAGCGATGCTTAAATGGTTCAACTGTGATTTCGCAATTATATATATATATATATATATATATATATATATATATATATATATATTGTGCCACATTTATCTCCCCGCTGTGCACGTCCATCATCATGGGGCCCCACGCCCACGACGCCGCCCATTCTCTTCAATCCACGGCGACGTGAGCCTGTGATCACATGAGGCACAACTCACACGTGGGCCCCAGCTTTGCTGGCCACATGTTCCTCCGGGCCCCTCCGGTGACAACGAGAGAAACCAAATAATCCCCGCTTCGACCGCATCGTACAGCATAATGCCTAATATTTAATGGCCTCCCATGAAACGCCCATTCTGTAGGGAAGGGGATTTCCTGTGTTGTCGAAGGTAGGATTCATGTTCTTCGCTCACAAACCGCGCTCCATCCGTATTAAATAAACTCAAAAGATCAAACGGTGGAGCTTATTCGTTGAGTAGGAAAAACAAAAAAAGAAACACCTCATGATCTGAGACGGTGTATCCCATCGTGAATCTTTAATAATAATAATTATATATATATATATGAAATTAAAAAAAATTTAATAACATAAATAACATTGGAGACAGGACAGAACCATTCTGTTTAGGGGGGGGGGGGGCATCAGATTGCATATGATTAGGGCACACAACTACTTGGTGGATAAGTCTTATCATGGCCGACTACCCAATTATTATAGTACACGTGGTCGGCAAACAGGATTCTTCACGATGGCACACAGTGGTGTCCTATAGAGCAGACAAGCTTGATGTAAACAGTCTACGGGATTATTTAGCAGTGGATCAAAAGGAGAATGATGCATTTAACAAGATTTGACTGGATAAGCTCACAGCAAATTCACAGAAATTATTGTGGTCCAGCTTTAGGAGCACCGTCACAAATGACAAAAAAGATTCCATTCAAAATCACTAGTATTGGTATAGTAAACCTCCGTTATAAATAATCACAAGCTACAAATCCAAACTTATGCTAGGAATCAAAAAACTCAGCTACACTCACCCCTAGATAATTAGTATGTATGGCTTGCAACATGGATAGGAAAAGTAAGGTGACATATTCAACATACCCAACAATTCTGATAGCAAGAGGGAAATAGATCAGCGCAATCCAGTGAAAGTTAGCACAAACCTGATCTTTATATACATAATTATATGGCCAAAGAATCCAGCAGGCAGACTTAACAAAAGAATTCCACACTAGATAGTGGCAATTCTCCAACCAAACAAGCATACACACCTTTCTGATCACCAGAGCAAAAACAAGCAGCCAAGTCCACCTGCCTACCCCAGCTGTGATTTAGCAGCATCAGAGTAGGTAATCCAAAGATGCTTATTAGCGTCAGAAATCTGTCACAGGTACGAACACAAGAAAAGCATAAGGACCCAGAGTAAACAATATTCCACAGAATCAACTTTGGGTAAGAATCACCAACCACAGATTGCATGGCCACTACTATGCAAGCACATGTGGAGGAATTTCGAGGATAGTTCCAAAGAAACAATGTAACACGACAACTTTGACCAAGCCAAGGAGTTAGATCAGTACAAATTTTGTAGAGCACCATACCACCTGCAAAACCATACTCAGCATAAACAAATATCCTGAGGACATCTGCCACAACTTTTGTCAGTTCAGAAACGAAAAGAACTACAAAATGTAAGCATGCATTTATTTACAGTGATGAAAGGGTTATAGAGTCCATCAACAAGAAACTCAACACGTATCTGGACTATAAGTAGTTCACTAATTTATGGCAAACCTTCTATTAGAATGAAATCTGCTGCCACACTCAGCATGGACAGCTATCGGTTGAGGACATCTGCCATAACTTTTTTGTCAGTTCAGGAATGTAAAGAACTAGAACATGTCGAACAGCTACTTAATCATGAGAAACTGAGGGAGGAGGATAATTACGTGAGATGGCATGCATTTATTTACAGGGATGAAGGGGTTATAGAGCCATATAGAGCATGAGTATGCCTCCACAATCAACAAGCAACTCAGGTACATGTCTGCACTACAAGTAGTTCACTAATTTATAGCAAACCTTTATTTAGAATGAAATCTGTGTATCCACTACAGATGCTGATTACAAAGTAATTTTTTACTTGGATGTTGGTCGTAGATGTTGTTTCTAATAGCACAAGCTTGTAAACTTTATTCAGATTTCCACAAAAGCTCTGCCGCTGAAGAAAGGAACTACTTCAGGCATAGAAATATGAAACTCAAGAAGGCCAGTGCTAAGGGTTGTGAAACCAACTTATACGCTCTACTTCTCTGTTTTCACTTTACCTTACAAAAAGTGTAGTTTTTCTACTATCTAATAATTTTTGTCCTTCAAAGGACTGGATCTTTTTATTTCAAACAATGACATAAACAAGAGAAAATCAGATTATTGAACAGGCAATGAGATGGAACTTATCCCAGGCATAAAAAAGATGTTCAAAATGCAGCATTTATGTTTTCCAATCACCAATGCGTTACAACAGTTGGTTTATTAGTTCAAGAAAAGAAAATTCTAGAGCAAAAAGTGATCTACATGATGAGAAAGTATCATCAGATGTTTCAGATGATCAAAATATATTGCATCAGAGTTTGCAAAGCCAATAACGTTTAAGAGCCTCAAGAAAGTTATTCCAGAAGACAACTAGAAGGATCAGCCGATGGTCAAATTGGCAATAGACTGAAGGATATCAGCCAGTCTCATAAATACAAATGTTGATGATTTTCCTATTCTCTCTATGGGATGTAGACTTGACAGAACAAAGCCATCATCCCTCAAAATTCACTTCCATAAAAAAAACACACAAATATATTAAGAGAGGTTAAAGTTATTTCTTATTTATAATGCAATGCAAATATAAGTCCAACTGAACATATATGAAGGGAAAAAAAAAGAAACAATCAATAGTAACCAGATTAAGATTATTGATGATCGATTATGGTAATTATCAGGTAAAGAAAATTAAAGACCTTAACAAGTAGTAATATGTTCTTTTCTTTTTCTGTAAACTTGGATAGGAGAATAATAGGATTGTAATAGATTTACTATTATACCTGACACAGTTTGGTTCGAACCAAACCAGCCCGATGTTTCACCGGTTCCAAGCCGAACTGGAACCGGCCTGGGCGGTTTGGTTACAGTTCCTATTTCTTGAGAACCAAAACTGGCAGTTCTGGTTCTGGTTCAAACTGGTGGTTCCTGGATTTGAAAAAGAAAAACAAATAGTCAAATAGGCTTTAATTGTCCGTTTGAGCCCTAACAGTCCAGCGATCGATCATTTGAGGGTTGGACGGGCAAATGACCAATTTGAAACTCCCAACAATCATATAAACACTATTTTTAGGGGTTCTTTGGTAATTTCATAATTATATATATAGATAAAATGAAAAAAAATACAAATTCACCCCTTCTGATAACTAAATTACAACTACTTTTGGTGACATTTTAAGGAAGAAAAATATCCTAAAATCCTATAAATACCACTCATGCCCCTCATTCTTCCTCATTTGATTAAGCATTCATAACACTCTTTTAAGATCTCTAACGCTTTGTAATCCCTCTTTTAAGCTCTCTCTTTAATTCAAATGGCAAGTGGAAATCATCACTTCACCGAGACATTCACACCCAAGGACAACACCGGAAGCCCGGTCATGCCAACTCAAGAAAGCTAGCACATCACCGTCCAGTCAAAGGAAGTCGATACAATGGCCAAAGCAATCAAGTTGAACATCTTTAAGCTTCATTTCAAGAAGGTCTAAAATACCGATGACTCAAACCAAGTGATTTGCAACTATTGTTCCCAAATGTTCAAATTCAAAGGAGGTGGATATAGAACATTTTGTGAACATTTTGAGAAAAAACACCCTAAACAAGCCGAGAAGGAAAGAAAACCAAACTCAAATTTTCAAGTACCCAACTAATCATACTTTTCAGTTTTCTGTTGAAAAAAATCATAAAGAATTAGCGAGATTTGTTTAAACTGAACATCTTTCTTTTAGTTTTGATGAAAAACTTGGTTTTGTTGATTATTGTCAAAATGTTTTGAATCCTGTTGCTAGATGTATTTCTCGTTCTCCTCGTACATGTGCCATTCATAATCTTTATAGAAAAGGGAAAGAGGATTTACAAAATTTGTTTCGATCTTTTGATGGATGTGTTTCTATCTGTTTTGATATTTAGAGTGATCATTGGCAAATGCACTTTTAATTGAGAATCACATGATATTAGATTGCGAGTGATTGGACCATGCAAAATAGAGTTATAGCATCTAGAGTTTTTGATGAACGACATACAATCGATAATATCTATAGAATGAAAATTATTTTGGAAGAGTACTCTTTTGTTTTTAATTTTTTTTCAAAATACTGCTTCTATTCCTGAATTACAAAAGTGTGTCAACTGGCTTTTGGTGGTTTTTTTTTCATATTAGGTGTTCTTGTCATGGTTTGAATTTATATGTATAAGGAGACCTTAGATCTCTTGAAACTTTTATTTCTTCTATTAAGAAAGCTATCTCATTCTTATGAAGTCATCCACAAATAATAAAGAGTAAACTACATTTTGCAAATTAAATTACAACATACCCCAAAATATTTACTATGTATGTTTTTTCCTTGATAAATTTATTCTATGAATTGCTTAATGAAAGTTTTGAATACAAAGAATCATTATTTACTTTTGTTGCAAATAATGGGAGACGAGTCAGTTTACACCCGCAATTTCAGAATCTTTGTGCAAACATTTTATAAATTTAAAACAATTTTAATGATACTACTTGTATATTATTTGGTGTTTATCATCCTACTGCTCATGTATTTTTTGATTATTAATATTGTTGGAGCCTTAGAAGAATATGAATATGATCATGATTCATGACTATTATGATGCTGAAAATTAAATGGACAAATTATTTTCTTGAGATTCCGTTGATTTATCTTGTTGCTTTTGCTTTTAATCCCGTTATTGAATAGATGGTCTAAGTCATTATTTAACTATTTATTATGAAAGTTTAGGATTAGATATTGATCTTAGTGAAAAAATAAGGGAAATAAAAAAATTATCATTAACTTATATGACCATTATAGTGAAAATTACAATATACAACAAACTACCTCCCAAACGTCTCCATCTACGGATAAAGTTAGCAGTAGTAGAAATAGTAAAGGAGAAATTTTATTATTATAAAAACAAAAGAAACTGACTGAATCGTCAGGCTTGAACTCTGAGCTTAAAATTTATCTAACCACTTCTTTTGAGTTTCATGACAACACTATAGGTATAGAATTTTCAATTCTTGAATGGTGGGTGCGATATACAATAACCTTTCTAATTTTAGCGATGATTGCAAGACAAATATTAGCAACTCCGGTGTCAATAGTAGCTATGGAGCAAGCTTTCAGCATGGTGGATGCATCTTGGATGAAACTTGTTCAAGTATGAACCCTGAATCAATTGAGGCTCAAGCATGCAACGGTGATTGAACCAAGATGGAGAAACATTAATAAGAGATCATCCGTGAAGACAACTAATACTAGTTTGAGGTATCAATCGAAGGAACGATCAGGGCATCTAGCATCGAAAGCGATTGATAATTTTATAACTTTACTTTTTTTTTTTTATCATTTTTTCTGTCATCATACTCATTATACATCCACTATTCAAAACCTAGAAATAAAATTATGAATTTTTCTATTTTAAATTATTTTTAAATTAAAAAATCAACGGTTCGAACCGAAATTGGTCCTGTGCAGTTCGGTTTCGGTTCCCAAATTTTAGGAACTGGAATCGTCGGTTCTGAAACTGTTGATTCTAGACTCGAGGTTAAGTCTACTTACTATGACATCACCTTCCTCAACCATTGTGATAGCAGCCCACAGAGAACTCTTTCGATGTCATGTAAGAAAAGCCTATAGCCTATAGCCATTTAGCAAGGTAGTGTAGTAATAATTTTCTCCATGTTTCAAATAATCTTTCATGGTCCATCTAACACCAGCCAACATGTCATTTAAGATGTCCACAGGTTAAAATGAAAACAAAAGACCTTCCCAATTTTATATCAATCTGATTAAAATTCAGGACTGAATTATATAAAACGGGTTCAGTCTCAGAAATTCAGGCTAAAGTTCAATACATCACGGATCTTCGTTCCCTGGATTGTCAGATGTCAACAGTACCACAAAACCTTTGTCCATTGAAATTTGTCATCAAAGGTCTCTCTCTCACACACACATATACACACACTCTCTCTCATGTGGCACACATGAACATATACTTTCACATCCAAAATACTGTACACAGAACAACAGTAAGCAAAAAGCTTCCAAACTCCAAGACTGTATCAAAGCAGTATTCTTCTGTTTAAAATAGTAAAATACTATAAGGGAGGGTAAAATGGCTTGAATTTTCACTGTAACTAAATGCCATAATATGAATAATTGTTTGACTTAAAAAGCCAAACTTCGAGTTCTTGACAATGATGCTGATTTTTCTCTCTTTTTTAAAATTTTATCAGGAAAATAGGGAAAATGATCTATCCAACAAATCATACAAAGGCACTGTAGTTAACATAACAATAACAACTGTAGTTTTATTATCATGTTTCTTCTCAATTTTTTTTCATATGTATAAGGTATGTGCACCAAACCAATCCTTCTCTCAACATCCAATAACAGCAATAAGTGCTCACCATCTACATCGAAAAATGACAAATTATAGCCAATAAACCAGTCATCGATTACTGAAAAGGCACCAACATATCACAAACTTGTTCATGTCTACCAAAGAACCTTGACAAATTTAATCACATTACAATAGTGTAACTTTTTACTAGATAAGAGTCAAGGACTAATCTAGATTAACAAATAAGAATTAAGAAATCATAGGAGAAGCATTGAAATGCAAGACTAGAACCATTTTTCCCTCTTTGATTAATAAAATATTGTCATCCATTTAGTGTGACGAATGGTTTACATTGTGAGGAAAAATTCAACCATTCAGCTGTAACACTCAAGTCCAAACACTACCTTAGAAGTACACTTGACCTAGGAGAGAAAACTTTGTCGGTGAATAAAGCCTGATACTATTTGCTTAAATAAGTAAAAATTTGAAACTAAGTGAAAAAAATTCAACCTGATTTTATGTACTTGTTTTTATCATGTATTACTCTCGACCCTTGTTCTACATATTTGAATCAGAAGTTTAGCTCTTGCTACCTGCCAAAGATACTAGTCTTATTTTCCAAAATTTTCCATGAAAATGTATCAAGACTGTAATCTTTTATACAATCAGCCAGGGAAATTGAGTTATTCAGCAGAAGTTCATGAAGTATGATGTCTAAGAGCAAACAAGGAATCATTTTAGCACATAAGTATTGCCGACATGAAGTAAAAGAACCAAATGTATGAATCTGAAGATATGAAGGAAAATGCATTTGAAAAGTAGCATACCGAAGACGAGTCTGCAGGCCATAGGTCTGCAACAGTGTCCAAAAGTCTGGACAGAGAATCTGGTGTATGTGCATGATCTAAGACTACTCCAAATTCTTGTTCCACATCTCTAAGCTCACACCTACCCGAAGCCACATCAACTTCCTCAGTCCTCTGAAAATGTCCTCCAGTGGCACTCTTTAACACATTTCCGACCGGAACTGCTGCAAGAATGTTATATAAGTGATGTGCCTCCCAAGCAATCTGGAGAGATCTCTGGTGCCTCTGGTGTGTGTGGACTCCCAAGGGTGACATAGTGCCAAACTGGTATGCTCCTCAAAAAACTAGAGCTTCATAGACTAATGTATTATACATATGGATCTTCTTGTCGGCAACCGTAACAACTGCTAACAACTGCTCCTTGCTCATCAGCGCACAAAGAGATCCCTGCTGTGATCTCCATCAAATCATGCTGGATTCCAGTGATTGAGACCTCCAAAATCACATAGATTTAAATGGGCATGGCTCTGTTTCCATCTGGAAGCTCAGTCACTGTTGAGCTTCAAGATTCAGGATGGTAACCTTCCCAATGCATTTACATCCAGAACAAGTGAGATGACAACAACAGTGCCCCATTCGAGCCTGGTTCAGCATCTTCTTCATCAGATTCTTATAAAATTAAAAGTTAGCTTAACTGTTCAACCTGACATTATAATTTGAATTTTGCTCTTCTAGAACATGTATATGAACCTGATCTTAACACGAGTTCTTTGGGTTTTCTTTCGGCTTCTTTTTTACCTAATCTATGTGTCAGGAAGAAGAGGATAAATGAGAAGAAGAAAAAAACTAAATTAAATGTCTCAGCTTCCATCACATGAGAAATATGTGATAAAATTCTGAAATCATTGTCAAACTTCATGGATTTAATTCTATCAAACTACATCCGGAGGTACCCTTTAAGCCCCTCTCTTTCATCAACCTTCTGATCTTAATGACTTCATCCCAACGGCCCCTGCATGCATGAATGCCCACCAAGACCTTGTAGAGACCTGCAGCTGACCACTTTGGTTCGAAGAACCTCTCAAATACTTCTTGCGTCTCTTTATGATCATGAATTCTACATGCACTAAGTAAAGCCCCCATGACAGTACTATCCGGTTCTATTGGCATCTGCGATAGAAACCCCACTGCTTCATTTATGTATCCTGCCCGCCCAAAAAGATCAACTATGCTTGCATAGTGCTCCATACTAGGCTGGACACCATATTGTGATACCATGTAATAGAATATTTTATGCCCTTCCTCCATCATGCCGCAGTGGCTGAAAGAAGCTAGCAAAACAAGGAAGCAGATGCCATCAGGAACAATGCCCATCTTCACCATCTTAAAAAATGCCATCAGAGCAACCCTACCATATCCATGCATGCCAAGACCATGAATCATGGAAGTCCATGAATGAACATTCCCTCTGGACAACTCACCGAAAACACGAGAAGCAGAACCCAACTCTCCACATTTAGAGTACATGTCTATCAGAAGTCCACTTACAGAAACATCTGAACTGAAACCAAGCTTTGTGATATAGCCATGCATACACTTTCCAACTTGGATAACAGATAGAACAGTGCAAGCATGAAGTAGAAGAAATATGGTAGGAATGCTTGGCCCGAAGCCTTCGAACAGCATTCGCTTAAAGAGCTCAAGAACCAAAAGAGGTTTACCAAGTTGAGAGTACCCGGTGATCATTGCATTCCAACATATGACATCCTTGTGCGATATCTCATCAAAGAGATGGCTCGAAGCACGAAATTCTCCACATCTCGAATACATGTCTAAAAGAGCAGTCACTACAGCTGTGTCTTTAGATAAACCAGTAGTGATGACATGAGCATGAATGCATTTACCCAGACTGAAGGCTTTCACATGCCCAATTATCGGAAGAACAATCTTTACGCCCACTTTATCTAATACTAATCCTTCATGCTTCATATAACTGCACTGCTCCAAGGCTACCTTATAGTGACCGTTCTTCCCGTAGCCAGAAATCATTAAGTTCCAGGAAGCCAAGTTCCTCTGAGGCATATCATCAAACAACTGCCGGGCGGAGCTTAACGCGCCAAAATTAGAATACACTTCTATCAAGGAATTAGTGATAAGCAAATTGCATACGAAACCACACTTGAAGATGTGGGAGTGGATCGACATCGCTTCATCAATAGCTGAAATGCCGACGCAGGACTTGAGCACATACGTGAATGTGAATCTGTCGGGCTTTACGTCGGAAAGACGAAGACATCGGTAAACATGGAGGGCTTGCTCGAAGAAACCGCCGTCTGTTAGGTCCTTAATGATTCTGTGGTTCAGCAACCGGACTCGATTCGATCTCATGGACTTGCGTGACGTGCCCAATCAACATCAGCGCAGAGATCGACTTCGATGGAGGAAGAGGATTGCAAACGTAAATAACCTAGTCAAACATTTCGAAAGCATCTTATATACTTGGAGAGTGTGATGGATTCACATATTTGAAGAACAAGTTGGGAATAATTTGCTTGGTTTTTAAGAACATACACACTGATGGATTAATAAACTTAAGAGCAGGCAGTCTGGGAATCTGATGACATATCTTGGATTTGATCGACAAATAGTTAAAGATCTTTTTTTGGCCCTTCATCTGGTGATGGGTTGGGTTCTGTTTTAAGACCCCCATCTTTAATAATATAGAAATCATTGATATCACTCGATACGCAAACAATAAGTAGCATTCTCGCATTATTTATACAAACCGTTCACGATATATATATAGGCAACGATTGAAGTGTAAAAATTCACAATAGAAAACCCCATCACACGCGCACACACAGAGAGAGAGAGAGAGAGAGAGAGAGAGAGAGAGCGATAAAAACCAAGTATGGAACGGCTAATCTTCCTCGCCGCACGCATGCACTAATAGATTAGGTCTCCTCGACCTCGTCGCCGTAGGCTTCGTCGTCGTCCGCGTCGGCGACGGCGTCCTGATACTGCTGGTACTCGGACACGAGGTCGTTCATGTTGCTCTCGGCCTCGGTGAACTCCATCTCGTCCATGCCTTCCCCGGTGTACCAGTGCAGGAAAGCCTTGCGGCGGAACATGACGGTGAACTGCTCGGAGACGCGCCTGAACATCTCCTGGATGGAGGTGGAGTTGCCCATGAAGGTGGCGGACATGGAGAGGCCGGTGGGGGGGATGTCGCAGACGCTGGACTTGACGTTGTTGGGGATCCACTCCACGAAGTAGGAGGAGTTCTTGTTCTGGACCGCGATCATCTGCTCGTCCACCTCCTTGGTGCTCATCTTGCCGCGGAACATGGCGGAGGCGGTGAGGTAGCGACCGTGGCGGGGGTCCGCGGCGCACATCATGTTCTTGGCGTCCCACATCTGCTGGGTGAGCTCCGGGATGGTGAGGGCGCGGTACTGCTGGGAGCCGCGCGACGTCAGGGGGGTGAAGCCCACCATGAAGAAGTGGAGGCGGGGGAAGGGGATGAGGTTGACGGCCAGCTTGCGCAGGTCGGAGTTGAGCTGCCCCGGGAAGCGGAGGCAGCACGTCACGCCGCTCATGGTGGTGGAGATGAGGTGGTTCAGGTCACCAACTACACGCATATATAGACGAGACATGAAAGCATGAGCAGCAGCAGAAGCAGCAAGAACTCGAACCACCTGCAAACCAATTTAAGGCTGCAAGGGTGGTTCTTCGGCGAGAGGAGTAACGAAAAGAGGCGGGCGCGGCGCACTCACAGCTGGGGTTGGTGAGCTTGAGCGTCCTGAAGCAGATGTCGTAGAGCGCCTCGTTGTCGAGCACCATGCACTCGTCGGCGTTCTCCACCAGCTGATGCACTGACAGCGTCGCGTTGTACGGTTCCACCACCGTGTCCGACACCTTGGGCGACGGGAACACCGAGAACGTCAGCATCATCCGGTCCGGGTACTCCTCCCGGATCTTCGATATCAGCAGCGTCCCCATCCCCGACCCGGTCCCTCCTCCCAGCGAGTGGCAGATCTGAAACCCTGTCACCACCACCACCCCCATTGGAATTCACGTACACAGGAATCCTTGCTATTATGTATACGGACGCAACATACCTTGGAGGCAGTCGCAGTTCTCGGCCTCTTTACGGACCACATCGAGGACGGCATCGATGAGCTCGGCGCCCTCGGTGTAGTGCCCCTTGGCCCAGTTGTTGCCCGCCCCGTTCTGTCCGAAGACGAAGTTGTCGGGGCGGAAGAGCTGACCGTAGGGACCGACGCGCAGCGCGTCCATGGTTCCCGGCTCCAGGTCCATGAGCACCGCCCGCGGCACGTATCGGCCGCCGCTGGCCTCGTTGTAGTAGACGTTCACCCGCTCCAGCTGCAGGCGGGAGTCGCCGACGTAATTCCCCTTGGGGTCGATGCCGTGCTCGTCCGACACCACCTCCCAGAACTTGCCGCCGATCTGGTTGCCGCATTGCCCGGCTTGGATGTGCAGGATCTCCCTCATGGTCGATCTTTTCTCACTCGAGTGTGTAACGAGGAAAAAGAAAGAAGCAGAAAAATTATATCTGTATGTGTTATATATACAGAAGAGTACGAAGAATAGGGAGATAAGACTGAAGGATGGAGAAGAGGGAGAGCGAGAGAAAGGTGAGAGGTGGGGAGAGTGCCAAGGGGGAGGAGACAGGCAAGGAATGCTTGCAAGTAGCTTCGAGATGGCTATGATGAGCTTTTGTAGATGTGGGAGGACTTGTTGATTTGGGAGAGGGGTGGGGGGGTTTAACTGAAACAAAATGCAAAAAAATAAATAAAAAAAGGCCCAATCCCTAATATATTGGAAATTTAGAATACATGACATGAAAATAAGTTCAGCTCATCAGATTGAGCTTGCTGGGTAAAAAGAAGACGAAGGGAAGTAGCAATCATGTGAGCCTGCTGTTGTGTTACCAAGTTAGGTGGTCTTACTTGACAGTGTGATGACATCCACTCAAAATTTTTTTCAGTGCATTCTCTCTCAAATCATTGACGATTTAATAAAATAGCTACAGGAGGTTTAGAGAAATAAATACAAGAGTAAGCCGACGGAGTGTTATTATTATATGCGAGGATGTAGTCCTGTTGACCGTGACATGATCATTTATAGATGCAACAAAAAAGTGTAAAATTGTGGCCTGGCCTGCAACTGCAAGGATGGGATGTGATGTGATACAGGAGAGTACAGAGTGTGTGGGATGTTATGCCTGGCAAAACATCTTGGGTGGCCTTATTAGGTGCTGCATTAATAGCTCAATAGATCGTATGAAGGTCATGTGAATTTGCAGTTCAGATCCAATGTGCACTGCTTCTTTGCCATACAGTAAAAGAGTATGGGACTGGCAGTTGTTGAGATGCAACGATCAGCAAGTCCAATCAATAATTTGCAGAGCAATGTAAGGAAGGCTACATCCCTTTTCGCTATATATTGGAGTAAATAACAAATTTTATAATGTCTTCTCTAGATTATGTGTAAACTAATCCATTAACGAAAGCAATCGTGCAACAGAACATGAGAAAAGTAATCTCCGAGTAGTCTATGCGAAGGGGCATCGAGCGGATAGGCTCTGAAACAGTTGTATGGAGGACAGGGTGGCTGGCTCTCAATTATTTGAGGCATGACAGTGTTTGCAAATCAAACACATCAATGATTGCCAAGGATTTCACTGGGTTGTTGGGGTACCTTCTAATGCGTGATGTAGCAACAAGAATCATTCAAGTCGAGAGATATCTGAACCCACCCAGCTATGCTTATGGAGACAGGCGAAAAGGAGGTAAAAGCAGACGGACAGAAAAGAACAAAGCGCACACCTTCTTGGACAATGGGAGTGTTTTGTTTTATGCAGATGTTTAGCGTCGGTGAAGTGTGCTCCACCGTGCTGTCGGTGGCGCTTAGCCATCCATGAATGTAAGGCCTTCGATGTGTCTCTCATCCCACATGCTGGTTCGTGACTGCATAATGGACATGCATGCATGCATGCTTGCATGATGAGAGAGAGCAATATAATTTAACTGGATAAATAAATGCAAATGCAGCTGTATCAGAGAACACCAAACTACCAAACAAGATCAAGTTCCTCAAACGAAGTAATCATCAGTCTTCGTCAAACAAAGACAGCCCAACCGACCTGCTAAATGTGGTAGACGCTCTTTATTTTTTTCCGAGAGAGAAAGAAACTTGCCATCTGAACTATATGCCTTCTCACCTAAAGAGCCTTTACGGAGGGAGGGAGTGAGTGCTGGACCAGAGGTTTAATAGCATGATAATTTATGAAGGACTACAGAATTTTTAATTCCCAAAAAAAACAAAATAAAACTCTGAAGAAAATAAAATATTCATAAATCCAATAAATAAAACCGACCATTTCCAGTAATGCACTCAAATTTTCATGTTCTGTTCACTCAAACCCAAACTCATCTGAAAAGACTAAAAAAAATGTCACAAGTTTTCAACCATACAAACAAATTTTGGGAATGACTAATCATGAGATTTCATTTTCTCTACACCGTTGTAAAGAATAAATTGAAAACAAGCTTTCCACGAGAGCGATGACCAAATTGCAAGCAGGTCCACAGAATTCATCAGAACACCATTAAAAACAGAGCTACCCTCCTAAATGGGAAATTGTCATACGATAGATAAGAAAGTCATCTTTAAGCCAAGTGAAGTAGGGATCTCGACTTGCATAACAATAGGACTTGATTTCTACAACATTCAATCAATGAAGATTCCTAATTTAACTAACACTACATCAAAAAAAATTATATGTAGGAAAAATTATTACGATTCACTTTACATATCCTAAAATAAAAAATAAATAATCTGTCATTAAATTATACAAATTTCCAGCACTACTTTGATCAAACAGATCAGACATGATTTCAGGATCATGAAAAATGATTTTAGGTCTCAAATTTTTCCGATGAATCTAGACCAGTTAAAAACAAAACAATAATATTCCTGTAAAAAAACTATACCTTTCATTAAAAATAAAATTAAGAGAAAAAAAAATAAACCTTTCTATTTTTTTTATCATTGTCTTAATTCCTTTTTAATCATTCCATTAGAACAACCTATGATAATTTGGGGATATAAAATAATCCCAAAATTCAATCTCAATAATTAAGCTCCACCACAATGACCTATGCTAATTTGGGACCAAAACTAAATAATTACAGTACAATAATGCTTGTTTGATACTTAGCAAGCAAGTAAAGCCAAACATGAGCATATTACCTTTGTAGGTGGAGTAATTATGCACTAAGCATCACCTAACTCAGCTCACGCCAAACAAAAGGCGTATTTTGAGTTACTTGTCATTCAAAAATAGGATAACTAAACCAAAAACAAACTTGTATGATGCTCCTTGATATTCCTACATCTACTGATTTGAGGTGAAGAGTCAGTACAGAACAAAGGAGAGTACTTGATATGTTTTTGTCCAGTAGGTCGCCTGCCACTTCTCAGTCAATTATCTGGCACACCAAGATAGTGAATGACTTTTAGAAATGTTTAGGCTTAATAAACCTCAAAAGATAGTGAATGAATGATTAAGGCTTTCAATGAATTTGAAGTTCAGCCCTTAAATCGACATTGTTAACATCTTACCTAATTTAACCAGCAGAATTCATTTCTGCAAGTTATCATAATAACACACACCTGTAGGAAAAGCAAGATGCCAAGAGAAATCTTAGTCTGATTGAGTGAACAACTGATCAGAATCTGACTTGAAAACAGAATTGAGGATAAATCTGAGATTAACAATGGCCTTATTTTGAAAAAATTAAAGCAGATTTTAATCTAAAAAAAAAACAAAAGGAACAAACAAATTGTAAGAAGTATATATTGGAATTTCTAATTAAACCATTATACTTCAGCTAGCACATCCACAAAACAAACCATTTTTATCTTCCACATCCCACAGCAAAGATGGATGATGCAAATAACAGGACTTGGTTTTTCTAATAATTCCAGGAAATGCTTATCATATTAATTAGTTCTTTTAGAAAGTGAAATTAACAGGTCAAATCAACATTTTAGTCCTAAAAATGATTATGATCACACGTCACCATACCATGCCAAAAGAAACCCAAACCCAAACCCAAAGTCCAGCAAATCAGTAGAAAGCAGTAAAAAATTGCAAGATCTTGTCAACCAATGTCATAAAAGATTCTGCCCTTCCACACAAATAGCATCCATTGCAGCCACCATAGTGTGGTAAATATATTCTCTTTAGGTGGTTGTATCAAAGTGTTAGGATCAAGAACAACGCTAAAAAAAGGGGGTGAATTAGTGTAGTGAAAAAATTAAATCGATTTGAAAATCTTCATACGATAAAAACTAATTTCGGCAAAAACAATTTGTTTTGACTCGAGTAAGTTTGCAAATGAGTAGAGAAGAGGAGATTGGACAGTTTACAATGAAGTAAAGTAGTAAAGAGAATAAGCAGTAAAGAAAGAATACATTGGAATTTATAGTGGTTCGATCGTCGTAACCTACATCCACTTCTGATTCCTCCTCCGTCGAGATCATTGACGTCTACTAATGATCTTCCTTCAATAGGCGAAGACCAACCACCTCTTTACAGCTCTTTCTCCTTTTCACGGGTTTAGAAGATAACCCTTACAAGCCTCACACATCTTCTTGGATTATTACAAAGCTAAAGAGAGGGAGAAAGAGGATTCTTCTCATTTTTACAACACTTTTAACACCCGAACACTTATAGTTTTTGTCACACTTTGATTGCACTTTTTTTTTCCTTTCATGCAGAAAATGTGGGGTATTTATAGGCCCCAATGACTTCAAAATTAGAGTTAAAAAATGTCTCAACCTGGATTTTCGGGATACTAGCGGTACCACCGCCAGTACTGGATTGTACCATCGCACCGCCCCAGTCTGACGGTACAACCTGGTTGGGCTTTGAATTCAACTCAAACCAGTCCAATTACGGGCCTAGTTAGCCCCTAACTGAGTTAGTAAGATTACCTCCCAAACCTAACCCTAATTATATACTAATTATGATTCTTAAGACATACACTAAGCAAAACAAGTCCGGTTATTTTAGGTTTCTTTCGGCGAGCTTCCGACGAACTTCCATCTCTCGGCAATGTTCCCGCAACTCCCGATAAGCTCCTGGACTTCACAACGATCGTCTTTGGTAAACTTCTAGACTTCTCGATCAATTCCGACATAATTTCCGACGAACTCTCAACGAAATCTCGATCTTGATTCTGGCACTTTGTTTTGCTTTATGTCTTGATTGCTATCGTAGTTAATCCTATACACTTTTCTCAACATATCAATTTGATCAAATAATTTACCAATTAATTTTATCATCAAAATTCAAGATTCAATACACACATAACATCCAGGCGTTTAAGATGATGTCCCTAACGAGTTTCAGACACCAAAGATAAGCAAGACAGCAGATGGCCAGATTCATGATTCCCTGCCTGTCGTTTCATAGCATCTCTCGTGATGCTTGGCAGATCCTATTTCAAGAAACTAGTCAGAAAATATCCTACTTTCCAACTCATGTAGAAAGCTTTAGTTTGTAGTCTGAGCCATAAAATGTAAAAACATTCAACCTGCCATTCTGCTCAATCTGAGAAGTGAAATGCATCCATTTAGAAAGGAAGCTCAAGATGAGAACTAATTATA